TGGGATGGACCTGGCTGCTTGCATTGAGCTCATTGAGAAGGCAGAGGAAATCATTTCATTTTAGGAGAGCACATATCTTTCATGGTATTTATTTTAGTCCAGTCATTCTCAATAAATTGACACATTACTGTTGAACGACCCTCCCACATAAGAAGAGGCAAATTATAAAACCAAAGCTTTTGGAATGACAGGGTGCCTCTACACAAACAATGATTTCCTGAACAACACGGCTGGGGTGGAAGGGAGAGGGGGTAAACAATGTTAATTTGGTGCCTTTAACAAGACTGCCTTTAACAGCAAGGTGAACCTCAAGTCTTACTCCTTGCAGTAACAGATAGAATTAAGTTCTTGGTTCTAGAAACACAACTCTTTCTGGCCTCTCTGTCACAGCCCACTGCTACTGCACTGGGGATCTTAATGGAGATTAACCCCTCACTGCTACATTACAAGCCAGTGTCCGGTGGTTGTGCACAGCAGTTACACTTTATGTGCAAATCCAATATGCATGTACCCAAACACTTCTCAGTAGCATAGAAGTATCTGCTCCCAGCACTATCACTCATGACCAGTGTCCAGTGACTGATTCAGCCATCCCACATGCATATTCACCCATGGGTTATGCCTTTGCACATGAGTCTCACATTTCTTGCTAACCTCACACACTTCCCACCGCACAGCAGCACCTACAGGCAGCGCTACCATTCACAGCTAGTGCCTGTTGCCTATTTCTATATTTAACACCCAAAATCCACACTTACCGTTCAGTGTCCACATACTTTGTGGACATATCTATGCAATACAGAGTATTAGAGCCAGAGGAATCAGAACATCTAGCTGAAATCAGACGTAAGCATCTAATGGCATCTTATTAAATTTAAAACAAAAGAAAAGGTTCATACAAATATGGAACTCCTAGAATTCTCCCTGGGCCAATGAAGTGCAGGTCACATCAGTGTCTCCAGCAAAATCAGAGGAAGTGCTTATCTGCATCAGAAAATACCTAATGTAGCTCAGATGAAAGCTGTGATGTCGCTGAGAATGTGCCTACACCTCTGTACTGAAATATTTCCAATTTTAAATATAATTCTGAGACAACTTAAAAGTCTATCGGTATTCTGAAGTGCCAGATTATTGTAATTTATGCTCCATATAAGGTGAGGAAAATCTGACCCATCATGCACATTCACTGGAGACGGAACAGGAGTTGTTAGACATTAGTTATCTGTGCACATTCCTGAGAAGAAGCCAACAAATTAAGTTCACGTTGACAATTGCAACCTAATGGCTTGTAACAGACATATATAACAGCATTAGTCCTGCAAACAGGATGCTGAAACCTACTTCCTAACGAGGCAGGGTAAAGATGATTGAAACAATTGATTATAATATGTATATATACATATATATAGCCTTTCATTCATGCATGTAAACGGTATTGTCGAGTTGCCATGTTCATGGGTAGTAGCTTGAGCAACACAGACTAATTATAGTTTGCCTGATTATTTTAGTAATTAGTGATGTATTAAGAACTTGTGCAGTACAAATTACAGTCACAGAAACAAGCCACAAATCATATGCAAGGTGACATTTTATTTACTTTTCCTCGCCCCACCACTTTCTTCATGCTTTCATATTTCTCCCAGCCCATGGGCATCTTCTCCATCCTGGAAGAGGAGTGCATGTTCCCCAAGGCAACTGACACCTCTTTCAAGAACAAGCTCTATGACCAACATCTGGGCAAGTCCAACAACTTCCAGAAGCCTAAGCTTGTCAAAGGCAAGGCTGAAGCCCACTTTTCACTGATACACTATGCTGGCACAGTGGACTACAACATCTCTGGCTGGCTTGACAAGACCAAGGATCCCTTGAATGAAACTATTGTGGGGCTGTACCACAAATCATCCCTGAAGCTGCTGTCATTCCTTTTCTCTAACTATGCTGGTGCAGAAACAAGTAAGTGCTTTTTCAGTGATGATCATTAAGGCAAGAATCAACTAAAGTCTACCTCTGCTTCTCTCTGCAGTATACTCTAGATTCTTTATCATCCCATAATGTGAGCTTGTTCTTGTGTGCACGCAGATATGCCAAAACTAAGATACCAACATGAAGAACTGCTGAAAACACCACATTCATGTGGTGCAGAGAAGTAAAACTCAGCAAGTCCAAAATAAAGTGACAGGAGGCGTACGTTTCTTGACTTACTGTGTTGTAAATCATATGCACGCTTACTCATCCTCTAAACAGGTGCCAAATATAGGTGCAAAGTTTATAGTCTTTGGGGATAAGAGTTTTGTTTCTTGAGGTGAACTGGAAGAACTAAAAGGAGACCATGGAACTATTTCATATCCAGCTGAGCAGTCCTGGCATTGCAAGGGAAAATGAGAGAGACAGAGAATATAATTTAGAAGTCCTCTAAGAGCACCAGAGAGCAGTCCAATCTCTTGCCCTTTTTTGTGGCTGAAGACCATCAAATTCTACAGTCAATAGGTCTGCCTTACCAAAATGGCCACACAGTTTTCTACCAAAAAACCCAGTATTCTGACAGCCTGGATGCTGGGCAAAAAGAAGAGGTAGTATACAGTAGCAGTCAACTCAGCCATCAGGCATACGGACAGCAGGGTTTGAGGCTCAACAGAGTACTGCAATGGGGACTTTCCTGCAGTTCAGTTCAGCTGACACAACAATGTGTCTGAGCAATCTCCTAGGAAATACTGGGGATGAGTCAGCTGTGGTGCTTGCTGGTATCATCAGTATAACAAAGGTGAGACAAAAAGGTTGTGGGGATAAAATTTTGGATGAGGTGTGAAGTTCAGAGCACAAAGATTTCATTTAAGTCTCAATTTAATTGGCTTCAACAGTGCAGCAAATATGAAAAGGCACTGAGCTGCTTGGACTTGTATTTCTGAGACTATAATTTACTTTCTACCTTGGGGCTGCCATAACTCAGAATAGATCCCTGTTCTTCACCTGGGACATTGGATTAGGAGATTTTTCTAAAGAAGACTTCACTGCACTGATAGACAAATGTCCACTGCTGAGCCACATTCTTGTGGCCTTTCACCTAATTAAAAAAAAAAAATAAAAAATGGGGTTACATCTATAAGTAAAAGCAATGTGACTAGTAGCACAGAGTACAATGTTATGAAAATTATGTCAGGTCATAGCGTTCCATACCACCAAAGCAATATACATTATGATGCAACCTAAATCATGCATCTGACACCAAATATACCGTATACTGATCAAGAACCAGCTCGCAGCAGTTCACTAAAACTCTCATGCAGCAGTGGGTCAGTATTTAAAATTAAAAATTATTTTATTGGCCCATGACCAAAGAAAGGAAGGTGAGGCCTACAAAACATACTGCTTACTCTAACCATTCACCTCCTATCTACTTCTTCCAAGGTGATAGTGGTGGTGGCAAGAAAGGTGCTAAGAAGAAGGGGGACTCTTTCCAGACGGTATCTGCTGTGTCCAGGGTATGTGAATTTCCTTTTAAATGAGCCATGCTTCCACAAAAATTATCCAAGGGCTAGAACACCTCTCCTATGAAGAAAAGCTGAGAGGTTTGGGGTTCTTCAGCCTGGGGAAGAGAAGGCTCCAAGGACACCTTATTGCAGCCTTTCAGTACATAAAGGGGGCTTATCAGAAAGATGAAGAAAGACTTTTTACCAGGGCCTGTAGTGACAGGACAAAGGCAATGGTTTTAAACTGAAAGAGGGTAGGTTTAGATTGGACATAAGGAAAATTTTTTTTACAGTGAGGGTGGTGAGACACTGGAACAAGGTACACAGAGAAGTTATGGATGCCCCATCATTGGAAGTGTTCAAGCTCAGGTTGGACGGGGCTTGGAGCAACCTGATCTAGTGAAAGATGTCCCTGCCCATGGCAGGTGTGTCGGACTCAATGATCTTCAAAGGCCTCCTCCAATCCAAACCATTCTGTGTTTCTATAACTCCTTGACATTTGAATAAGAATGCAAAAGCTTTGTAGTTCAAACCCTGTTTTGTTCTATCCAGGAAAATCTAAACAAGTTGATGACTAACCTGAGAAGTACCCATCCTCACTTTGTGCGTTGCCTGATTCCTAATGAGACCAAGACACCTGGTAAGTCCATTGTTATACTCCGAAGACATGAGACTGACAGGAATTGGCTTGCTTAGCTTCCATACCAATTTATTCCAGAACAGCTCCCTTTGCATGTGAAGTTCTTGTGGGGGTGGCCTGTGGGACAGTGTCCAAGTAAACCTTCTCATCTTGTTTACCGTGTATGTAAAATTTTGAGCACATGGTCCACAACACTTACCCATCTTTGTTTAATGTGTGTACAGAGATGAAGATTATAAAGATGGGATTGACTACACCTGGTGAAGTTGTTGTGCAAATCTGTAACAAAGGCCTAATTTTAAGCACCACTGTATCCTTCAGAACTGTTGGGTTCAGCCCAAGACCACCTACCAGTTTCTAAATATTCAGTGTTAGGATCTGATTCACTGAGCTGGAGGACTGTCAAAGAAATCATGTATCACTTGTAGAATTATGTGTAATTCTGGGTGCTGCTAGCACTTGGAAAGCATTTTTATATAAAGTTACTTTTTTTCCTTTATTTAATTAAATATTAAACTCTCACAAAGAGTTTAGTCTTCAAGAACAGTCAAGTTTGGGAGTATTTTCATGTGACCATTAAATTAAAGTTCTTTGGGAGAGACTTGCCTGTGTGGATTTTAGGAGTTTTATCATTATGAGGTCTGACACTGGTAGAATGCTAAGGTAGATACTGGTAGAATGCTAAGGTAGATACTGATAGAATGTAGTGAGGAAATAGGAGCTTAGCATCTGTTTAATCTGCTCAGAAAACAAAAGACCAATTTCAGAACATTTCTTACCTTTCTTGTTTATGTCTCTCTGTGTAGCTCTGAAGACCACAAGCAGGATTTAAGCACCATGCATATGTATGACATTCACATTTCAGCTATTCATCTAAACTCCTTTTATATTCAGTGGAGAGAAGCCGGCATTTTAAGGTAGGACTCATCTGGCCCCTTTTATGCATCTATCTTAGGATGAGATGAATCACATCCTAGAACAAACTGTTTCACTCCACTGACTATAAATGAAGCCCAAATGGAAATGTCCACACTTCATATCCTAAAGTGAAGGAAGAGGAATCCCACTGGGGTCTTGACAGTCAAGAAGGTGTAAGCGGGGAATTAAGGAAACCTACTACAATAGAAAAGCATATTTGAATGAATGATTTTGCCAGATGGCTATCATTTCAATGTTCAGTTGGTTGTTTTGACAGAAGTGAGTCAGAGGGAATCTTGACTTTTGCCTTTTAAGAAAAAGTAAAGTAGTACTGTGTGAGCAAAATTAAGGATGGTGAAGTGCAGGAAAAGAAACTGGACTACTTCTGATTTTTAGCTGTTTTCAGGCTGCTTATGCTCAACTTTTCTAACAATTCATTTGGGTACACCTTTATTGATTACACTGAAAATATAAAATTAAGGGTATGGACCATTCTGTACTAGTTAATGTCTCTAGCAGCTGACTGAAATTTCTGCATGACAAAGTGATTCCAAGAGGGTTTTATTCTGTCAGTTGTACTTTGTTTGTAGTACTTGGGGATAAGACTTAGAAATACAGTTGATTAGTATATCCAATACATATTTTAGGAGGAGAAAGATAATTCTTCTAATTCTAATCAACTGTCCTCTACAGGCAGACTGAGAGCTTTAAGCAACCTGCTTATCCACTCCTGTGTTGGAATCTATCTAGCTATCAATTCTAATCAAGTTTGAGTATAGTCAATGCTTGCATGGCAGATCCAAGGTAAAATCTTACATAATGTGAAGAGCTGATTGTCTAGATGGTACTACACTCTACATCATGTCACCTCTGCCTACATCTAATGAGGATCCTAATGCTGTGGAAGATTTTTCATCTGGTCTCCTAAAGCACTCTCCTGCCATTTTTGAGTACTGTGGCCTTATGCCTTTTGGCCACTGGCGATTCACAAGCACTGCCAGCCCTAGCATTCTTAGTAAAGCTCAGCTCACTGAAGCAGCTCTCTGCAACTTGTATGAATTGAAGGCATGTTCTGTCTTCAATTCCTGCATCTTTAATCAAGAACTGGTTGAATTTTATCAAAAAAAGGGATGTCATTCTGGAATGCTAATACATATGGAGATTGTTTGGAAGAAGAGTCATGATGGATGTATTTTGTTTAAGGTGAAATGGACCATCACTTGGTGATGCATCAGCTGCGGTGCAGTGGGGTTCTAGAAGGCATCCAAATTTGCAGGAAGGGGTTTCCAAACAGAATCCTTTATGCTGACTTTAAGCAACGGTAGGTCTTCAGTTATTACTGTCTGTTAAGATAAGGCCTCAGTAAACTCACAACTCAGGTGACAAGTCTGGTGACATCATGGAGAGACACCCTCTGAATCAGACTAGATTAGTGGCATTTGAGGGAACCAAGTCATTAATACTGTCTTAGGTCACTCCAGTCTTTCCCTCTTTGATCAGACCAGAGATTTCTTGATACATCAGAACCAGTATCATTTCTAAACTGTAGTCAATGCCCGATGAGTCAAAGAGATGCAAAATGCTTGTAGTGTAATGAATTAAGTGACGTTATAGACTGCTCTTTCTAAGTGTCCCAAAGTACAGATACAAAAACAATACATGTCAGCGCAGCCTCCTTACAGTGCACTGACTAAGCATTCAAAAAACCAAGACTTTGCTGGTGCTCTGTCACTGGCCTGCATTCTGTGCCTGGTTTTCCTCATCTTTAAAATGGAGACAAACTGGTTCATGTGAGCTCAGTTGCTATAAAGTGCTTGCTGCTGTTACAATTAAATGTAACAGTAGCATCTTCCATGCTGAACTGGTGTGAAAAGGACCCAAGACCTCTCTGAAAATGCCCTGCAACCTGATGTTCAGTAAGGCATTAGCTGGTCTCAATTGTCAAATCATAATTTGATGTGACAGGTGAAGGAATCTATCCAATAATGGCCATGGTCCAGAACCACAAAGTGCTTTATAGTTCAAAGGAAATGCACTGAAGTTCAGGAGGAGCTACAACGGAAGCTTAAAATAGAGAATAAATTCACTGCATCATTATCACTGTCTTGATTTTACATATTCTCTTTCAAGGTAGACTGGAGAGTAAGAAGTGCTCCAGTGTACAGTCACACATCCTCATTGATGTATCTGAAGAAACCCCTTTAGAAGGAATAAGTGGTCCTGTCCATGACACAGGATTACCTTAATAGTTAATTTACCTTGCAAAATGCTATGACTGCTGTTAGCATTTACAGAATAATACCATGCCATTTTTAGTCCAAACTCAAGGATTCAGTGGTACAACATGTAGAGACTGTGAGCTGTGCAAGATCTGTATTCCCTTTGGAATATAGCTGATTTTTGTTAGTAGTTTTAATTCATCTTCAACTTTAATTTGAGTAGCATTCCTCTGATCAATGAAACAAGATGAGAAGAGGTTGACAGGGTCTCACTATGTTCTTCCTAATTCCTGGACCTGCAAACACTCTTAAGTATGCACATTAATTTTATGTAACAACATACTGTGTTGTTACACAGCCAACAGATTCCTCTGAAGAGTAGACGTGTCCCCTTGTCATCACGTTCTGTTCAGCCAAGACTGTCTAGTTTTCAGATGGCATATTCAGACACTTTCAGATAGTTCAGCTTCTGTATATTTTATGATATACGATGGATCCTATTTTTCCTCACCCTGTTTGCAACCAGTCCTTGCAACCTGTCTTACCACAGGTACAAGATTCTTGATGCCTCAGCCATTCCAGAAGGCCAATTCATTGACAGCAAAAAGGATTCAGAAAAGCTTCTTTCCTCCATTGATGTTGACCACAACCAATACAGATTTGGCCTCACTAAGGTAAAGTCCTTGTGGAAGAGTGGGTATAATTAATGGCAAAAGATTTTGTTTGTTGAAAGTATTTCTTGCATATGAAATCAGCCTTCATGATGATTAGAAACAAAGTACACCACTAGCAAGAAGAAAGTACAGAAAACTTGTCTGGTTCTGGGGGTATGTGTGAGGGGTAGCACTGTCAGCCCAGGGAACACCACACTACCAGAATGACCCAGTATGGCTGCAACTGGAACTAGTGCTGCCCCTTTCTCCTGCCAGTTGAACTCATTTATATCAGTGCATGTTAGACAGGCTCATACAAGTTTGGACAGTCAGAATTTTCCAGGGATTTAGCATACAAACAAGTCTATCTTCCATATCCAAAGCAGTGTTAGGTGGGACACTGATTCTTTGATCAGCACAACCAAGGCAGTACTATCTCTGGACAAAAACCCAATCGCCTACACTACTGAACAGACATCATCATGTGTGCTTCTCAAGCTATCTCTAAGTCAGTTTACCAAGCAAATCTTGAGCTTGATGTAGAAAAGTAGAGAACAGCAAAGAGACAGAGTAGGATATAGTACTAAGTTGAAAGTTAACTCTTTTGTTTTAATAACTACTGATGAGCTAGATCTTCCACAACCTACGCTGAAGCAGGCATCAAATAACATTGCAATAATGTGATTAGATCATGCATAGAGTGATTTGTCATGAATCACAGGAACACTGAGGATATGAATACTGACACAAAATTTATCTAGCTATTAAACCTTTACTCTGCAGGCATTTCTCCCAAACTGCTTTGTACTACTACCCTCCATCAGCTGCCAATGGTTGTGTATCTGCCTAAGCCTCAAACTATTTGACCCTCTTCTTTGTTCTAGGTGTTCTTCAAGGCAGGTCTCCTGGGACTCCTAGAAGAGATGAGAGATGAGAAACTTATGAGCCTCATCACTCATACACAAGCTATGTGCAGAGGGTACCTCATGAGAACTGAATTTAAAAAGATGAATGAAAGAAGGTAATATAAGAAAATACTAACAATCATACCATGTCAGACCAAAAGTCCAGCAATGCAGTATACTGTCTCAGTCAAAAAAGTGTCCTCAGGAAACACCCTTAGAAAGACTAGGGGAAACAGAGCAAGCACAAACTAATAGTTTCCCTGTTATAGCCTCCCAGATTCTGGCAATGGCTATTTAGCAATTGTACCATGCTGCTGGACCACGGTATTTAGTATTTAACAGTGAACCTTTTCTCAAGGAATGCACTTACTATTTTCAACCTTTAAAGAACCCTGTGACAGAGATAGCCAACCGAACAACTGCTAAGGTTTGTCTGGTTTGAACATGTCTGATAATTTCATTGGATCATATTGGTTTTGTAAGGAATGACATATAATCGCTCTCTGCTCTCCTTGTCTTTAATTTTTTTTTATGGCTCCATCATCTAGGATGAACAATTCTAGCTTGTACAGAGAATGTACTGCATACTTTTGACCATCCCAGATACCCTTCCCATTCCAGCTCTCTCCCTTTGAGATGGGATGAACCATCCAAAATTCAGAATGTAGGAGTGGCAGCTCTGGGCAAGCCAAGCAAACTTTCTCAATGTTGTTGACAAGTGAAAGCTTCAGGGGGAGCAAGGATTGAATAAATGTATAGGATGGTCTGCCAACCAGCTGCTTTTATTTGTAATACTCTGTAGTATATATTTAGCTCAGGGGCTTCCTGAGCCAGGGATAGTCTCTAAGAATTCAATAACCCTTAATGGATTTCTCTGCAAGGAATTGTCTAATCTCCCCTTGAACTATGGGCATCAACAACATCCTTTTGCATTCAATACTACAAAAAATTTCATTTTTGTTTTTTCCATTTCTGTCTTAATAATTTCTAATACAGTATTTGCTATTTTAAGTGACCCAAAAAGCGTCAAGCTGCTGTTTCCAAAATTGACAGTAACTCCCAGATTTGTAATCTCAGCAGCAGTACTTCAAGGATGTCAGTTTTCACTCTGGTATTCACCTGAGCACTTGCACATTCTTTGAGGCTGAAGAAAGTCTTAGAGAGGAAAGTATCAGAGATTCCCAGGCAACACGCCAGAGAAGTTTGACTGTTTTGGAGTATTACTCCCTCTTCTGTCCAGACATAATTATTATTCACGCTACTGAACCAGCCATTCTGCAATCAAGGTCCTACAAATGACTCTTTAATAGAAGCAAGGGAGGTGAGGAAAAAAGTCTCATGCAAAAGTTCCTTGAGGAAAATGCTGGTGCTGTATGACCAATAATCAAGAGTTCTGTTTCCAACCCATGTCTCACCAGCCTCATAAACTGTGTTTTCATGTGTTTTCAGAGAATCCATTTATATCATCCAATACAATGTTCGAGCATTCATGAATGTCAAGCACTGGCCCTGGATGAAGCTGTACTTCAAGATGAAGCCCTTGCTGAAGAGTACAGAATCTGAGAAGGAGATAGCCAACATGAAGGAGGAGTTTGAGAAAACAAAGGAAGAGCTTGCAAAGTCTGAGGCAAAAAGGAAAGAGCTAGAGGAGAAAATGGTGACCCTGTTGCAAGAGAAAAATTACTTGCAGCTTCAGGTTCAATCTGTGAGTAACCTCCATTTTCAGATTCACCCCATTTCCTCTTATGCTGTTGCTCTTTCCCTTCTCTTTTCCGTTGTCCTTCATAAACAAACAGGTAACTGGGCCAGATTCTCCACTGGTTTGTGTCTGGTCTTGTCATTTACACCTAAGCAAAGTAAGTATAAAGCACATATAAAAAACATTACCACCA